GTTACCCCTCTAGTTCCTGTGTCAGCGAGGTTGTCTCCACTCAAAAAATGAAACCCTTCGTCGATTGATGTCGACTCCTGATTTCGGCTGGCTAATCGATTGGCTACAAACACGGACTGTTTGCTTGTCGAGTTCAACAACTGAAGGAATCTAGTGCTGTCAGTCCACAAGAACAATTGAGAAATGCTCAGTGTAAGAGCTTTCTCGATATCATTCTTTAGACGAGTAGCAAGAAGCGCAGCTTGAAATTCCAAGTTCAGAATTGAATGCATCTCCATTGAGGCTACTCACGCTTTGCCGAAGACACACGCAAGTTGACGTTTGGAATAGGCACTGTTCTGAGCGCGAAGGAAAACTAAAAACGTCCAATGAGATTTCATCGAGCATGTGCAGTTGAACCTCATCCACTGGAAAGTCAAAGAAGCAACGCGGTATTGTGAGCTGCTCTAAAATTGGCAAAACGGAGTCCCGTTCAATGAATCTGCGGTACAACTCGGTTTGCAGTTGGTCGTCCCACAGATGGCCACTCATTCGCCAGAAATTTTTCAGCAGCAATCGTGAGCGTACGGTATACGGGGCGACAAGACCTAGGGCGTCGAACGCAATTGACACCAAACTATGAACCGATCTTTGAGTTCGCGGTTAACTCCTTTGCTCTCACCCAATACACAGGTCACGTGGTCCCATTTGATACAGAGGACATGCGATGCGGTTTCCGTATTGTTCGCTCCTTAGTGATGTTAGCGCTGGTTTTAGGGTGATTTAGTTTTTTTAGTTTCGAGATCAAATTGTGAATGCTGCTAACCAATTTTCTTAGATTAAACCCACTCAACTTAAGCAGTTCAATCACACTGCGACTTAACGCTAATGTTTTTTCCGGATTTTAACGAATTCAAGGTAGCCATCCTTGTAGAATTTTTTCAGCACGGCGAAAGCGGCTTCGGGATAACGATCTTGGTGATCGTTGGCTTTTCGAGACACTTAAACTGGACTAACGAAGCGTAAGAGTTATCTGAAAGATGAATCTCGTCTTCAACCCAGAGCGTTCCGAAAATTTAACGGTTGCCATCATGAAACTTGGTAGAATCAAGAAAATTCTGGGCAAGTTTATCGGCTGCGGAAGGGGGATCAGCTTATTTAAACGCCTCATACAATTGTAGCTCGTATCATTCTTCACTTGGTCGGCAAGTGCTACGTTTTCAACATTGCGCTGGCGGGTGGTGGCTCGAACACCAATTGGCGAGGGGAGCAGGTCACTGAGAACCCAGCGAATGGGCATACGGAAATCCGCAGGAGTAGTTTGAATTCCTCATTGAAAGTATTCGAGTCTTTCGACTGCCCCAATATCATCTCAACGTCGGAGTAGTTGTAGACAATAGATATAAATGGCTGCAGAAGTGGAAACTTGCCTTGCAGAAAAATAATCAACTATAATCAGTCAAAATTGGCTTATATCGCTTATATTTAATAAAGCATTAAAATCTTTTGCAAATTAAATATAATCACTTAATTTCCACTTTAAAAAATAAATAAATTTAAAAGCTAAAGAATGCCTAGAAGCTTCCGATTACAAACTGAAAACTGCTACAAAGTGTCTGCTAACCATTCCAGAAAAAGAAGCGCATCCTCAAAAAATCAAACTGTTGGAAAACGACAAGCCCGTCAAAATATCAAGCAGAGCTGAGAGGTTTGCTATTTGCCTCTTGTAATGTCTCAGTCGCATCATTAGGAGAATGAGACAACTCAGTTTACTGAATATTGTTCTGGCCAGAATTAAAAGCGAGCAAAAACTTTAAAACCATAGTTTTTGAGTTTTCTGGCAAACTAAGAGCGTTTTGTATAAAAACGCGGATGATTAATCAAACAAAGTCGCTGCTTTCCAGGCGCTGCTTTAAAGTTGCGTGTTTTATGAGCATGAGTTCTGCTTTCAAATACGAGTTTTCATCGAACTTCGTTTTTTTTCTATTTGTAATTTCCGATAATCACAGTTAAATTACGTATGAACCGAAACGTTTTCAATCAGTCGGGTGCGACCAGGCTATCGACTAAATGTATTTCAAGTGTTTTTGGTGTTTTGCTGTGAAACATAATATAGTTTAGTTTTTTTTTGAAAATTGTCATGTTTTCATTAGGTTTTTACTCAACCTAAAGGCAAAATCTCAACTAAATCTAAGTAGTTCTCAAATTAACACCACCTAATAAAAACAGCAGATAATGGATCAGGCAAGATCGCCTGATGCTATGTTGAGGTTGCTTGTAGTTCTGAAGTGCCTGCGCCAACTAAGTTCCTGATGCACTGATGCACAACCACAAAAACTGTAACCCAGAGGAGCGCTCCTTCGATGTCAGATTACATGGCCTACTGATTCTGACAGAAACGGACGCTTGAAGACTCGTGATTTTGTTGCAGATCAAAACCCACAACAAATGAATTATTTGATAAAATCTGCTTGAAAATTGATGCACCATTCGGAACGCATTTCTTCCTGGTCTAACATTTTTGGGATCATACCAGACTGATGACGGAGGTGCCATTCTTGCAAGTTGCTTGTTTGAGCGTTATGCAGGTCTACAACGGTTACCTTAACTTTTCCAGATAATCTTGGATTTTTTCTGAAATACGTGTCTCGGATAAATTTAGTTGCCTTAGCGCAAAATAAAAATTATTGGGAAGAATTATATCATCGGCTGTCCATAGCTTACTAAAAAATCACCTCCGACCATCATGAACGATAGATGACTCAACAGTATGATATGCTCGTACCAAGATTGGATCTGCGAAACCAGTTTGTTGTCTTCAAATCTAATCCATCCCACGTTTTGTAGAGGATCGATGCGATGCAAGATTTTTGAAGAATTGGAGTGGTCGTATTTTCAACAAACTTTTGAAAATTTTGCCAATCTGTTTTTTAGGTCGATCAATTTCATTTTCCGAGCCCTCTATACATACCCTACTTGATCATAAAATTTCTGCGCCGCAGGAAAATTTTTCAAAAAACAGGCCAAAAGAGGCGTTATTAGACACTTTTTGAAAAATTTTGACCGAAAAATTGCGTTATTTCGGCACGCTCCCCCCTCAAAATTAGTTATTTTGGCGCCGAATGCGCCTTTAGAAATAATTTGAGGCTGGTCAGCCAGAAATGTATGTTGTAGTAAAATTATACCACAGAGGGATCAGTAGCGTGTCGAAGGGGGACAACCAGAATTGAAGGGAGGGGGAGAGGCGGTCACCACCCCAGCCCCCTTCGACACGCTACTGGTTAAACTAGTTTTGATAGTTGAAGTACAACAATCATTATAAAATCAGCTCACGTTCAATTCAGCTTTAAAAGATCGGATACTAGTTCGTATATTTATTTTCCCCAAGTTTCAACTAAGAGTTATAATTTGGATGAACTGGCATCTCGGTAGTTTTTTGTTGGTTTCCGATCTCTCAATGATCGCTTGGGATCTTATGCTCAATGTTTATAAACAGAAACTAAGAGAAAAAATTACGTTGGATTCTTTTTGATAATTCTAGCTCAATTTTCTATAATATAAAAACAGCTGTTAGCGAAATGTATTGGTTTTTCAGGTTTGTAATTTTTTTGACGCAAACGGATTTTTTGTTTTTCATATTTTGTTTTTCTAAAAAAGGTCTCAATCAATTTTCAACAACTTTTCGTCAATAGAAAAACCAGCTGCTTGTCTTTTCACGCATATTTCTTTAGTTTATTTTTGAATATCATTTTCATCTTGGCTTTGGAAATTCGAGGGAACTTTCGACCCATTCTCCTCTTGAGAAATGTAAGATTGAACGTTAATTGGACGATTATTGAACGAACTTATTGGAGTGATCTCACCTACAGAAAGTGCAGGTCCTCTAGATATTGTAGATAAACTACTTTTGACTTGGGTTCAAAGATGCGATGAAAAACAAACAAGTTATAGGAGTCTGCCGTTTTTAAGCGAAACTATTCTGCCTGTGAACTTTGAAGGGAAAGACCAATTCTGATACGGAAACCAACCTAGACACGGAACCAGTCCAATTTTAAAAACTACCCAGCGAGTTCAATGATTACGACTTCAATCGGGAGAACAGGTTGTGAAAAAATTTCCATTTCAAATGACGGTCAAATTCTAAAGATGGACTTTTTTGAATGGTTTACGTACATATATTGGCCAGTAATCTGTTTTTTTTTCTTCAAAAAATGGTCAGAAGTGCAAAAAAAACTTAGTTTTTTCGAAACTACGTCGCAAAATCTTGAGATTAGCGATTCAATCTGAATAACTGGTAAAGATTGCCCTCCAGGTATCAGCGACTACTCCCTAACAATGGCAGAAAAGACGCTTTGGACAAGTATAAAACTAGTTTTGAAGTTTTGACCACTTTTGGTCTTGGTTTTTTTATTCATGGTTTTTATCTGTTAAACCCCAATAAACATAACGACAATTTTTTTTTCAGAAATATCACCTGTTCGTTCGTTTCTTTTAAATGGTGCACTTGTAATAAATAGTGGAAAATAAAAATAACAGACGAAAAAACCCACCCGAAGACAAAGTTCTTCATTCGCATTTTAATGAGTGGAACATATAACCAAAACAGGCAAAAACAAAGTGGAAATATAAAGATATTAAAACAAAAGATATAGCTTTTTCGAAGTATTCTCCCTATCTTGAACTCCTCAGAACATTGAAAATCATTTTTTAAGAGAGCTTTCGTAGATCTAATTTGGAGAAAACCAACGGCTGTGATTGGAAAAGAGACCAAAACTAATTTTATACAGTTTACTATATTTTATTAATAGAAATGAAAGAAACTATATAGTAGTAAAATTGAAGAATCGGCTGAGGTGATGAAATGGTTACATCTCTTAGATGCTCAACGCCCACTATAATCGGGCTTGGTTGCTTGAGGGTGAGGTCTTTACCGTAGCGGTTAAATAGGTAACAAATCGCTTGGTAACAAATCGAGGAGACGCCGAAAAAACTGTGTTTCAACTAGGCAATGTGCATTTCAGCCGGTGGGCAAGCGTGACAAGAAAGTGAAGTTCTCGGGTTATGTGTACCATCCGCGGTGTTTCAGATGTGCCAAATGTAAGACAAGTCTGATGAAAACTCGCTTCAAAGGAGTGCGCACAGATCTGGTGTGTGAGAAATGCTACTACAAACACTTCGATCCCAAATGTGTCAGATGCAAACATGGAACCAACCGCGGCGCCCTCATGGTCATGTCCAATGGGGCCAAGATTCACAAAAAGTGCAATAAATAAAGACTAAAAAGTTCACATTTTTGGCCATATTGTTTTTCAGTTTTAAAAACTCGTTGGCGGTATAAAAAATACCCAACTCTAATATCTCAAAATCACACATGTTAAAGCATAAACTAGCCAAGTGATGCCACACACGGAGAGTGACGGGCAGCAAATAATCTCATATAAATTAGAGTTAGGGATAACTTGAAAATCAGATCAGAAAGCGCGTAAGCCAGAGTGCGCGAAAATATGAGAGAATTTTCAGAAAACAAAAATGGTTCAAAAGCAGTCAGGAATTGAAGTCCGGTTTATTTGAAGAGGGTTAAATTTTAAAAGTATAACGTGAGTGAAGGGAAAATTTTCAAATCAATTCTACTCAATGTTAGGCTGTTTTATAATCATTTCTTTTAAGTCTGTTATCAAATCGAATTACTTCTTCAAAAAATTTTCTGTGAAGTTGAAGAACCTTACTTGTGTCGAGTTTCTTAGACAGGATTGTTGTAAAATTCAGATGCTGTAAAACTAAGAACGAGGCCAGACATTGCATTTTGAGAATTGTCAGCGGATTCCGCAACAAGGACGCTCCCTTTGTTCTTATATTTTGTTCTTTCATTTCTTTTGATCGTTCCGGCAAAAATTTAACATGTTCAAAGGCTTGTCTATGGAATCCAGGAACGTAAAGACACAAAATTGTGCGCCTATCCAGTGCACAGTTTGGCCTCGTAATGTAGATGATCTGCAATTTTCTTAAAATCTGCAATTTTTCTTAAATAGCTGCAATTGAATTCTTATATATAAAGTTAGTATCAAAAAATCGTAGGATTTTAATTTTCAAAAACCAAAAAGTCATCAGTTGAAAACTACATAGCGTTATTCGAACCAATCATCTAGCTTGAATTTCATTTGGAACATTTTCTGAATCGGATTAGTTTTCCACATTCGCTACCCACTTCATTTAAACCCAAATCACTCTAAATAATGTCCTAAAAATTTAATATATACATTTTCATATATACGCTCAGGCACAGAAAAACTTTGGAATTGACGTCGCATGCCTCAAGCAGATTTTTTAACAAACTGCTGATCTTAAGGCACTTAATTTGGTCAAAATTAGTTCTTAAACTATATTAAGTTTTAATCGTTTTAGTTGAAAAAGTCCCCTAATTTGTTCAAACATCTTCATATAATTGAGCCTCAAATCAAATTCTAATTACTTGAAATCAAAGTAAAATTATCAGGAGATCGATTGAAAATATCTTTTCGGCAAAAATACTTAACGGAAAATGATTGAAGAAAAAGAGCAGCCCAAAACAAAATTGAAGTAAATGAAACTGCAGGTATCAAGAAAAATCGTGAAAGTTCTGACTTTTTTTTCTTTTGCAGTCTGAAATTTGTTTTTGTTTTTTGAAAACTAAAACTTGTTTTAAAAAATTGATTTAGTTTCAGTTGTTTTATGAACGTTTTTTCCACCCCACGCTTAGTAAATACATAAATATAGTTTTAGCGTCTGGTAACACTTTAGTGAGACAATTTAGCTTAACTCAATTTTTAAATTTAGAACATTTTCTGTCGTCAATATTTTCTAGACGATATTGAAAAATTTTTGAAAAAGGGCTAGTTAAAAAATCTAAATGAACTCGAAAAAGCGCAAATAGTCCTTTCGTTTTTTGTTTTTCGGAACATTAGAGAAAATTGATTCCCAAACATCAATCAGCAGTTACATTTTTTTTTAATTTTTAGAGTTGTTTCGAATACGCAATATCATTGTACAAACCAACTTACAAAAATATCTCAATTTGAAAACTGAATAGGTTTCGCGGTTCAGCGAAGCCCACTCTAATTATAATAAATTTTCTTTAATTTTTTTAAATTTGAAACTTCGGAACTTCAAATATCGGGACAGTGGGAAAATGGAGCTACTAATAAGATTGTGGGTACAATTAAAGTCTGTGAGGTGGAAGATTTTCAAAATTGTGGTGAAATGAATTCAATTTTTTTAAAAAAGAACGAAAAAAAAGTTAAAAACCAGTTGGGGGAAAAAATTGAAAAAATGCTTTAGGAGACAAAAATAGAACCGATAAAAAAGAAATTCCCTAAAAGATGAAGAGAAACAAAAGGCAAGGCAAAACTTTCCTATGATTTATCCATGAAACCAGGTAGTTAATTTTGTAATAAGTGTTAAGAGTTAGCAAGTCGTACTAAAAAATTCTGAGTAAAGAATGACGAACCGCGTAGAACTGTATGTAATAAAGTTAGTTGGAAACAAAGAAGTAGAGGGCGACCAAAAAGGCCAGAAAACTCCGAAGGTTAAATACCAGTTACAACCAGAATCTTGACAGTGTGTGAACAGAACTAAAATGGCGCGAACTAATTTAGTCACAATCAGATTCTTCTTTTTTGTGGAAATGAAAAATAAACAAAATTTAATTAATGAAATAAGTCTAAGGTAAAGTTTTTCTAATTTTTCCTTTCTTCCACTTTTCTCGCTTTCGCATGCTCAGTCGCCCTTTCGTAATTGCTAGGCCGTACCCATCCTGAGTGGATGCTTCCATTTCCAGTTGTGTCGCTCTTCACGATCCGTTGGTGTGATTTTCTCCCCTATTGCGTTTTTCTCCTCTGGTGCGCTTTTTTCCATTGGTGCTCTTTTCTACCCTTGTGTGCTCGCTTTCGGAAATAAGACGATCTCTCCAGCTTCAGATGCTCTTGCAGTCTCTCTCTCTTTTTCTCTTTCTCACTCTCTCTCTCTCTCTCTCTCTCTCTCTTTCTCTCCGGCCACCTTTTTGCCGAGAGTGGCATGTCGTCGTCATCGAATTCCAATTCGTTTTCAGTATTAAATTTCCTACCCTTTAGCGTTGGGTAGCTGCCTTTCATAGCGACTTGGTCTTTTGGATTTGTAAGTTTCATGGCCGCGGTTTTTCGTCGCACGTCCATTCGTGTATGGCGAGCGTTGATGGCTCCGGGTGTTCTCTTCTTGCGCGTCATTACTTTTCGCGTGGCCACGCCTGATTTCTCAAGCACACTACTGTTACACATTCGCCGCACTGTGTGGGCAATTTGAGCTACGTTTTTTGTTTTTAGAAGTTAATACTATTGACTTCGAACTTCAGTCCGCTTTAAATAAGCTCCGTTGGCGCTGTAATTGTCGATATCCCGCCTGCATTCTACACAATGGCTCTGCGTCCTGGTTGTTTTGCTGGTCCTCGTTTGGTGAGTTCGAGTGATATCTGTGTTTTATAGCGTACTTGGTATCAGACCAGAAACCCCATTAGTGTCACCCGGGTGCAGCATGCTCTATGCGGCAGGGTATCTTTCATCTAACAAGCAATTCTAGAATGTATAACGTTTGCCCAATTTATTTCGTGTAGCGATTGCTTTTTCGCGAGGTTTTTTAAATGCGTGTTCACCTGCTGTCTGTGATGGGCTTCAAATGCATGTTTTCAAGGGTGGCATTATTTGAAAATCTTCGGGCCCTCGAGCATTTTCTGCTGAGGTTCCGCTTTGCCGTCTCGAGCATAAGTCAACTTTGAGTTTTTCAAACTACCGGTTTTTCACTTCACGCACTCAGTCACTAGGTGTCATTCCCAAGTGATTGAAAAATCCCCTCCTCGCATCCTCTATGCAAAATCTTTTGACCTTCTTGAACACAAAGTTTGTTCCTTGATCTACGTTAATTCGAGGTAACCCGTGGGTACTTATGTGTTTTTCTTAAAGACTTAATTACCTTATCCGAACGGTTGATCCGCATACTAGTGCCGATGGCTACCTTGAACATCGATCAACTGCTACTATGATATACCTTTTAGACTCGCTTAAGTAATTTTTATTCCCAAAAAATCTAATTGTACTGATTCGTTTGATAACCCTGGTCTTGGTATTTTACATAAGACTTGTTTGGGGCACATAAATTTCAGGTTTTTATCGGCTAAGTTGCATTGCCGACATTTTTCCCACGATCGAGGCAAAGCTTTGATAAGTGTATAAGTACCACACGTCTTTAGAAGCCGCGCCAAAATTCGATATCCGTGATGGAAAAAATCTAGCCGACTAATAACCGACGCGTTTAGGTTGTCTCGAATCACTAACTTTTCATCCAACTCTTAGACGAAAATCGCGAGTATTTTGAGCATCAAAGTTGCTGATGGAATAAATGTTCCAGTTTACTTCCTGTTCAATACTCCTCAACATCTCGATTAATCTCTGTATTTGAATGATGATCGAGTTATGGGATTTTATAAGTCAGAGATTAATTAGTTCAGGTAAAACGGATAAGACCGTCTGTTTTTCCTAAACTTTACATTTACGGGGAATGATTGACTTCACACAATTCCTATTTTAAACGGCAGATACTTCTCGCGGGGGAATGTCGACGGAATGGAAAACAACCTGCTGCACCTCGTACTTTTAACTTCCGTCCTAATTGCTTGTAAGTTTCCATCTATTTCTTCTAATGATCATCGCCGCTGCTAATGCATGGGTGTCTTTCTAACAATTTCCGTATTTTTCACTCCATTTCAGTTTGACTGCTTATATGTTTAAAACTTCTGATTTTACTGATTTTTTATATTACCAAGTCAATATTTGTCGCAACTGAAATCGCATTTTTGTCAGTTGACACTCGGGTTATGAAAACTGATAACCTGTGATTGGTCCTATTTACAGCGCATGAGGCTTGGCCCTCTATCGGTCTTTTTACGTTTTGAAAATTGCATACTCGTTTCTGATTGGTTAATTCGATTCGGTTTGCGTTTGTGTTTGGTTTTGAGATTTGTCCCTTGATATTAATTAAATTATTATATGTGAGCGTGCTGAGAAATGAGTTTATTTTTGCCACCGTGAATATAATTTCGTCCTTGCTAGCGGGCTTAGCCTCCGTATTCCGGTTTCGGGACAGTAGTCTGCTATGACAATTTTGACCCCTGACCTGTGATCTACCTAGAAACCAAAGGAAATCAGTCACTGAAGCCACCGGGTAAGTCGGCTGAAAGTAGTTCTGTTCTTTTTGTTCTTACCACTTAGTT